AATTTAGTATCATAACCCACAGTGTTAATTCATGCCAACAAAAATAACAGCATGAGGAATTTACAATTTTACAGAGCAGCAATAAAGAGTTTTAGGTAACATCTGTTCAGCAATCATTTCTTTAAAAGACTAATTTAGATTCAAGGTCTTACACTGCAGTATAACTGCAGCAATAATTCAGTCACTTCATAATTAAAGATATTGACACAGATCGGTCTTACCTTTCTCCTCTACACCATTCAAACAGAAATGCTTTTGCTTTTAACTACATCTTTCTTTGATTTATAAACACTATTAAATGCAAGTGTTAATTTGCCTATGTTAAACAGATTGCTGCAAACAAGAAAGTCTTCCTGACTCATATAAATTTCACAGAGAACTTAAAAAATACAATCTGAAAGTCACTGAAGATTGTATTAATTTCAGTGTATCACTGACCAAACACTTCTAAATCATCTGTACGTCCAGTTGGCATTCTGTGGTCTAGCACCTACAAGATGTGGTCCCAGTAAAGAGCAATTAGAAGTAGTTCAAGTGATCTAGCAATCATTTACACAATTTCTAAACATTTCTAAGAAAATATATATACATACACCAAGTAAAAGGAACACCCTCCTCAGTGGATTTCAGAAGATTCCTGCTCAGAAAATATATAGCTAGGTTGAACCTCTGCCATCCTTTATTCCATTTCTGCTTTTTACCAAACTCAAACCCCTCAAAGATGAACGTAAGGGCTTTCAACAAAGCTAGGCCACCAAAGTATCACAGAACACGTTATCCTTCCAAGAATTCCACTGTACCAAACCACAGAATCACAGAATTGTAGGGGTTGGAAGGGACCTCCAGAAATCATCGAGTCCAACCCCCTTGCCAAAGCAGGTTCCCTACAGCAGGTCGCACAGGTAGGCATCCAGGCAGGTCTTGAACATCTCCAGAGAAGGAGACTCCACCACCTCCCTGGGCAGCCTGTTCCAGTGCTCCGTCACCCTCACTGTAAAGAAGTTCTTGCGCATGTTTGTGCGGAACTTCCTATGCTGCAGTTTCCAGCCATTTCCCCTTGTCCTGTCTCCACTCACCACTGAAAAGATTCCGTCCTAGCCATTCTGCCCCCCACACCTTAGATATTTATAGACCTGGATCAGGTCCCCTCTCAGTCTTCTTTTCTCAAGGCTGAACAGACCCAGTTCACTCAGCCTTTCCTCATAGGGGAGATGCTCCAGGCCCTTCACCATCTTCGTGGCCCTCCGCTGGACTCTTTCCAAGAGATCCCTGTCTTTTTTGTACTGGGGAGCCCAGAACTGGACGCAGTACTCCAGATGAGGTCTTACCAGGGCAGAGTAGAGGGGGAGGATCACCTCCTTTGACCTGCTGGCCACGCTCTTTTTAACGCACCCCAGTAAGCCATTGGCCTTTTTGGCCACAAGGGCACACTGCTGGCTCATGGCCAACCTGTCATCCACCAGGACACCCAGGTCCCTTTCCGCAGAGCTCCCCTCCAGCAGCTCATCCCCCAACCTGTACTGGTGCATGCAATTATTCCTCCCCAGATGCAAGACTCTACACTTGCTTTTGTTAAACCTCATCCGTTTTTTTTCTGCCCAGCTCTCCAGCCTGTCCAGGTCTTGCTGAATGGCAACACAGCCTTCAGGCGTGTCAGCCAATCCTCCCAACTTCGTATCATCGGCAAACTTGCTGAGGGTGGCCATTATCCCCTAACAAGGTCATTGATGAAGATGTTGAACAAGAACGGACCCAACCGGTCTTAGGGTCTTAGGGTCTTAAACCCTTAGACCTGCTGAACAAAGCCAAACTGTTAAATGCTTCAGAACTAATCATCATGCCATAAAAATGTGTTTTTTTGTTTGTTTTTTTTTAATAATTCTGTGAAAGAAGAGAGAGCTAGGAACTACAACTCAAATTCCTTCTTCTGCGAAGCCAGTTTATTCAGGACAGCAGTACTTCAGGAAGACGTTTAATTGGAATTAACAACTATTTAGCCCAAAGACTCTTTCTCCTCATCTAAATGAAGTGGTAAAAATCAAAAGAATGTTCTCCTGCTAAATAAGGAGTTCTGTTGGAGGGAAAAAAAAAAAGTGCATGTTAACAATGTCAATTTTGTTAACCAGCAATCCAATTTCACCTAAAGGTCTGTCAAGGAATCAAATTCTTTTCCAGATAGGCTTAACTACTGTTGATTTGGTAACTCTCAAGTGCCAGATCAATATGTTCCATTGATTGGAAAAGTCCAACTTGGAATTTATCTTGAAGCCTTTTGTCCTAAGGAAAATTAGACTAATCCAATCTGGATGACTTGAGTTTGTTGAATCTAATAGTCAATTTTAACCACACTTGATAAATGCATATTAGATAAGAAACACAATTCAGCTTACACGAAGAAGTATGGCATGACAAGTATCCCAAACATAGACAGGGTAGAGCCTGTATTTATGACTGGATTACACATAATTCAAAGGAGTAAGGAGAAGTTCAGCGTACTGTGACACAAAACTAATCTAACAAATGAAAGAAGATGTATTACAGGAGAAATTAGATATGAACAAATCAATACACATACAACATCTTGCACACCATTCACTCCTCTCTCTAAAATAAGTCTCTTAAGAAGACAGGAGGTAGAGAGGACGAAGGAGAACATACCAATTTTAGTTTTAATAACGGATAAATATTCTGCATTGCAACATCTTAAAGCAGAAATTGATGATATGACAAAAAGAAATACATTTCTCCCAGTACCCTTCAAGGAAACCACTACAAATCAGAGATGTTGATTAAGGCCTACAATCACTAAAATAACAGATATTCACAACTTATACTGTTTTGTACCTTTCTTCAGCAGAAAATTATTACCTGAGACAAACCAGGGATTAGAGAAAACAGCCCAATGGTTACAGAATCTGTAGCAACTTTTTAGATTTCGGGGCATGAAACAGCTTGCGACCCCATAGAAACTGTTAATTGCCACAGATGAGATTTGCAACGCATACTTTTCAGCAGTTTACACAAAGACAGAGACAAAAACTAACACTCTGCTTATGGAATATCAGCTCTTCCTAAGGTCTCCCAGTGAGCTAATGGCATACCTAGAAGACAGGCCACATTAGAAAGAACTGTCACATACCACCATCCCAAGGCAACATCTTTGCTTTAAGAGTACTTATAAAGATAAAATACAAGACTGTTGTTTCAGGTCAAGCACTTCTGAAAGTGACAAAGCATTCTCGAGAATTAAGAATATTCTCAGTCACTCTTGCTTAAAGAATTTCAGAAACTGGGAGAGAAAAAAAAAAAAAAAAAAGCCATACTGTCACAATAATCACACACTCTACAATGCTAAGTAAAACACCCAAATCCAGCTTCCTTGGCTTTGTGTATTTGGGTCAAAGTAAAATCAATACTATTGTCCTAAGAAGCCAGTGAGCTGATGCCCTCACCTGCACATGCCTAGGCTTCACAAACAGACACAACAAACAAGCTCACCTGCACCAAAAAGAAGGCCTCTTTTCTCTACAAATCTCATCTGAGTTCCTTTCAGTAACAAATTCTCAAGGGCCTTGTTATATCTGACAGTTCCACTCCCTAAAAAATGTTTGTATTTCTATTGAGGGGAATACCGAAACTGATGGCAACACCCTGATTTCCCCCCCCAAATGTGTTTAAACTGTGGAAATGATGGCAAAATGCAATTTGCCTAAGACCTTAACAGTTAAAGCATAGACAAGAAATAAAAGATTTTTAACTCAATGCTGTTGTCAGCCTTAATTATACACAGATCTGCCTCTTGCTTCCTGCAGGAATAAACCAGTCACCAAGTCATATACCAACACTAGTCCAACTGAGCAGACTATATAGCTTTTCACTCAGAGACCCTAGGCTAAAGAATGTTTTCTGACACAGCCCTGTATTTATCTGTGACCAACTCTTGGCCCCCAGATTCATACATATTCTAAAGAGCATGGTACACATCTGCTCTGCATGTGGTGGGTACTTGTAGAATGTGTATTTGCTCAGCTTCGATATTTGAATAACTTGGCATGTCCAAAGAAAAAAAAAAAAGGCTATTTTTAGGTTCTTTTTAGCTAGGGCACATCTTACATACATATAATTTTGTAGGCACCTATTCGCTCTTTTCAGTTTCCCAATTGATGAGTTTGTTAGACAAACCTTGTAAAGCAGAGCTAGGGAGATCTGCATCCCTTAGATTACTATGTTACACTATTACTACAGTATTCTATTAGAAAGCGTCCAAAGAAGGGCTTCAAAGATTGGGAAGGATCTAGAGGGGAAGACATATGATGAGCAGATGAAGTCTCTTGGCTTTTTCAGCCCAGAGAAGAGGAGACTGAAAGACCTCATTGCGGCCTATGGGGGCAAGAGGAGCAGAGGGGCAGAGCTGATATTTGTTCTCCAGTGACAGCGTCACAGCATCCTCATGAGAGGATCAGATTGGACAACTAGAAAAGGCTCTTCACCAGAGAGGTGGTCAGGCATGAAACAGGCTCCTCAGGGAAGCGGTCAAAGAACTGAACTTGTTGGGAGTTCAAGAAGCATTTCGACAACTCTCTCAGACATACAGTCTGATTTCTGGGTCACCCCCTGTGGAGCCAGGACTTGGACTCAATATTCCCTTCCAATTCAGGATGTTCTATGAAATTCAGAGTCCATTTTCCACTGAACGGTTTATGTGACCAAAACAAAGCCCAAACATCCAGCTCTAGTGGAAGTGGCATCGTTTATGGGTGAAGAGCCATTCTGTTAACACCCCTACAACTGTCACACAGTGATTCAGAAAACTTCTTCATAAAGAGCAGTGACCTGAAAGCACGCGAGGCAACAGGAAGCCGGGCCCTGTGAGAACAGCAGGACAGAAGCAAGCTGGGGCAGGAGGGCCCTGGAACCCTCAGGGAGGCTCTCCCGGGCGCACATTCAGGCAGGCCTCCGCCTATGCCACGGGCAGGGCCATAGGACGAAGCCGTACTTACGAATTTAGGCTTCCTGCCGTCCACGGCCTCCTCAGGTCCGCCGGCCGCCGGCGGGCCCTTCCTGCGGATCCCCTTGTTCTCCCTTCCGCCGCGACCCGGTGGCGAGCGCGGCCGCGGCCGCCGCGACTCCATGGCCGTGCCCTGAAAAGGCGAAACGGAGACAGCCGGGGGCTGCGATTAGAGCGGCTTAGCTGAGCTGGGCCGGCAGGGCGCCGCGGGGGAGTAGGAGGGGGCCTCAGGGCTAAAGCCAGGCAGAGGATTTACAGCCAGCAGCCTTTAATCCAGGTAGCGATGGCCGCCCTCCGGACTGCACCGCGGAAGCAGCTTCGCGCCACACACGGACCGGGGGCAGCACAACGCACTCCAAACGGCCGCACCCCAACGCACAGCGCCCAGGAATGCAACACCGTCCGAATCGTCCCGCCACTGCCGGTCCCGCCCCATACCCCTCCACGACAGCCAATCCACGGCGGCAGAAGGAAACGGTCGCTTCCTGATTGGATGGCCTTCTGCCAATCGCCGCTGAATCAGCTGTTCTCCCCGAGAGCCGGCGCTCTCGCCGCTCGTTTCTCGCACTACGTGTCCCAGAGAGCGCTGTGGCCCGCTCCCCGCGCACGGCGGGAGCTGTAGTCCCGGACGTCCTGGGGGGAGGGGTGCGTCTCCTCTGTCAGTTCGGGGAGCCGTGGCCCTGGGGACGGGTTTTGTGACTTCGTTTGGAGCTGTGGTTCAATGTTCCTTTTTTTTCCCGTTCCCTCCCTGACACTTCTTATTAGTCTGTGTAATTTTGGCCCCAGGAAGTTTCATACTGCCACGTAATTCGAAGCTTGTGGCGGTGTGCCCTGACAGGGCGGTTCCCTCACTGGTTGAACTGTGCGTGTGCAGGTACGTGTCCAGAGAAGAAGACTCCACAACATCTCTGGGCAGCCTGTTCCAATGCTCTATCAGTCTTACAGTCACGATTTCATTGCTGCATGCCACTGGAAAGAGTCTGTCCCCATCGGCTTGAGTCCCACCCTTTCATAGAATCATATCATAGAATGGCCTGGATTGAAAAGGAGCACAGTGCTCATCTAGTTTCAATCCCCCGGCTATCTGCAGGGTCACCAACCACTAGATCAGGCTGCCCAGATCCACATTCAGCCTGGCCTTGAAATCTTCCAGAGATGGGGCATCCACAACCTGTTTGGGCAACCTGTTCCAGTGTGTCAACACACAATATGTGGAAAACTTCCTCCTATTATCTAACCTAAACCTCCCCTGTCTCAGTTTAAGACCATTCCCCCTTGTCCTCTCATTATCCACCCTCATAAACAGCCATAAATAGTTGTACCCAGGTCTCTCAGCCTTTCTTTGCAACAGACATACTCAGTTCTGGGTATCATTAAGAAAAAAAAGGTAACGCTCAGCATTCATATCTAGAGTGTTTGCCAAAATAGCAGCAGTTTCTTTTTCCTTCAGTAAGAAAGACACTGATCTTGTTTTTTGAAATGTAGTTATGCCTTGAATATAGCAAAAATAAAATGTCTCCCCAAGACTAGATGATCTCCTGAGGTACCTTCCATCCCCTACAATTCTGTGATTCTGTGATTGTATTCACTTTTTCAAAATAATTTGAATGCCTTTCATTACAATGCAGTGACAAAAGATAAAGTTATCAGTCCCTCAGCATCGCCCAAGCAGATGCAACCCATCACACTTGCAGCTCCTAATGCCTGCAGTGATGTGGAGTTCCAGTAAAGCACGGTAGAGTTTAGCCCCAAACTGGACCTTTGGAGGTCTGGGACCCAACACTGTGGAGCTGTGGGGCTAGAATTATTTGAATACATTAAACTGTTTGTTCTTTGGCACATTTCTGTAGATCTTTTGTAAATTTGTATTGGAATTCTTTGTGGAAAGTGTAATTAGCATGACACTGTTTAATGTCATGGTTAATGATTTCCTGGAACATTTGATTAGAAAATTAATCAGCCTATGTATGCATATGATAAAGCTGTTTAAATGGACCTCCTAATTGCACTGTGGTAGAACACAATGCTTTGTGCCAATATATCACTTTCAAAGTACTGTATTGCGATAATAGGGAAACACTAAAGAGAATAATTTATTAGACAATTTTCTAAGCCAAAAATAAATGTTAGTACTTTTGATCAATTATTATTATCTTTTACATTACCTCTCTTGTGCTTCTTAGGTGCTTAACAGCATAGTTGGTCAAGATTAATAATAACAGAGTAGCAGGTGCAAGAATGAATCAGTAACACAGGCTCTAGTATCTCCCCTGTGAGGACAGGCTGAGAGAGCTGAGGCTGTTTGGTCTGGAGAAGGAAAGGGGAAAGATGCTTTATCACAGTCTGTTGTGGCAGAACAAAGGGAAACGATTTCAAAGCAAAAGAGGGGAGATTTAGACTGGATAGGAAAAAACATTTCCAAGAAAGGTGGTGAATATCCCATCCCTGGAGACGTTCAAGGTCAGGCTGGACCAGGCTCTGAGCAACCTGACCTAGCTGTAGGTGTCCGTGTTCATTGCAGGGGAATTGGACTAGATTACCTTTAAGGGTTCATTCCAACTTAAACAATTCTATGATTCTGCAGTTTTGAAGAGACTATACTTGGAGTGTGCATACTGGCTGGAACATGCATATAGCTTGATGATTTTGCTTTATTCTTTTCTCAAATGAGTTTGTCAGTTTCAAAAACGTATGAGACAAAGAAGCAGCATAACTTAAATGTAGGAATATTTGCAAAATTTGAATTGATGTATTTAACTTGATTCTCCCAATTTTATTCCGTGTCCTTTTTTTTTTTTTTTCTTTAGTGTGGCTCAAGTCTTAAACCTACAGAAATGAATATCTTCTTGATATTCATTCTTCCAGGGAGGCAGTTTTTCAAATAAATCCCTATGTACTGGATTTGCAAGCTGGCTTTTGACTGAAATTAGACAGTTCTCCATATTTTATTTAGAGATGCCTAGTTCTTGCCTACACAAAGACAGTAAAACTGTAAATTAACTGTTTTTCTTTTTTTTTTAATTAGATTAATCCTATTAGACTGTCACATAAAAGTTAGAATTTTGTAAGAAATGTTATTGTTCTTATACAGCTATCATACAGTTTCAACAGACTTTGTTAGTAAGGCCACACAAGTGCTCCAACTGGCAGAAACAAGAAGGATGCTAGCTGCAAGTGCCTTTCCAGGATATTTCTTCTTTCTTTCATGAAAAGCACCAAACAGGCTCTCTATCTCAAATCTCTCAAACCGACATAACTGTTTGTAAATCATACCAACTGATTGTATCTTACACCTTTCCTAAAATCTTATTCGAACAGTTAATAAAGTAGTTACACCAAAAATAAATTATAGGATTGCTAACCTAATAATAAAAAAAAAAAGTAAGTAATAAAAATTAAGTTTGAAAAACACAGCCTGTTGTTGTGTCTTATCGAGTGAATTGATGATGTTTCTTACTTAAGAAACTCTTAACAGGTGCATTTTCATATTGCAATAGAGTCCCTGATAATTTAAATGTACTACAATGTTATGTTATTAAATATAGCCTATGGATTAGATATTACTTATTTTTCACAGCAAAAATGTGAGAATCCTATTATTCCATTATTAAGATAAATTGAGATAGAAACTCAAATTGTTCGTATATTAGATTTACGAAGGAACCTGGCTGCTAACAGGTTTATTGTGCTAATAAATGACCAAATTTACGTTAAATTTCTGAGGAAAATCATGCTCTGAAAGTATTAAATAGAATTAAATGAATTTTAAATTGATTAAATACAGTTTTATAAAAAGTAATTTGCTGTGGTTTTCTCTGTAAAAAAGAGAGCTCAAATTCTTTTGCTTTATTGGGCATAATTCAATTGTCATTTAATCATAAGTTGTTATAATATGTATGTATGTAGCATAGATTTATTTAGGCAAATGAAAAATTACAGATTTACCCTGGAACATCATTATCACCTAATACTAAACCACATTCCTAAGTGTCGCATCCACACTTTGCCACCTCACTCAGCAGACTGTTGCAATGTTGATTTGTGAAGAAATTCTTTCCAACACCTGATAGAAACCACCCCTGGCACAACTTGCAGCTGTTTCCTCATGTCCATACTGTTGTGTAGCAGAGTATAAAGATGAGAAAGGCATACCTGAAAACAGCGTATGTCACAGTCCTGTTATTGATTTTGTATCAGTCATAACTTTTGGAAATGTCAAACAAAATTTTACATACAATGGATTTATTCACTCTCTTTTCTAGCTAAAATTTAAATAAAGGACTTTCAAGAGTAGTTGTAATCTGAATGTCACCATTCTCCTTTTTGAAGCTTTCAAAGTCACCCTGTTAAAGATGAGGGTATAGTAAGTAGGAAAGTAGTTTGCTCAATTCATTCACTGTAGATTACATGTTGCTAATAATTTCTCACAAAATATTTTAGGCTAACCTCTCACTCGACTGAGGAAATTTAATGTAGCTCCTATAAGATGGGATAGGAAAAAAAAAATCAGTGAATAAGTCCATTATACAGTTCATCAAATGGATCTTTATGAGGATATTGAAGATGTGATTTGTGGCACTATTTAGGATACATTGCATACTACATTATTATAAAGTTCAGGTTTGTAATTTAATTATATGCCAAATTATCTTCAGTTCTAACTGCAGAACTGACTGGGCCAAGCCTGGACAGCTGATATAAATTAAAGATTTTAAGTGGTCTGAGTGTCTTGGATTGCAGTAAAGGCTATGTTATATAATTTTATACTAAGTGTGGGATTTTCAGAGCCACCTAAAGAATTAAATGAATTACCATTACTGTCTATTTTACCATTATAGTAGAAAATGTTTATTGCAAAGTTAGTATGAATTGTTATTTTTTTCCCAAAAGAAAATAAATGCGTTTCTAGAGGAGAAAACTGTGAAGTTGTTCTTTCTGGATTAAGGGTCCACAGTAGTATGATCAAGCATAGAGACATTTCAGGGCATTTACTGAAAACTTTTTAAGGCTTATGTCAGAATGCTGGGGTGTACAATTATCTTCTATTATTTCTAGGTAACTCACAGAATTCATCATAGCTTTCCTTTTCAAGTATATTTTCATCGTTTTAATGCTCCACTTTTC